TTGTGTCTTTTACATCATGCATCTTGATCCTGTTCATCTTCCTGTCCCTTTATCTCTGCCCTCTGACCTTGCAACATACTCCTTAAATAAAATAAAATGAAATCTAAGGGAAAAAAAGAAAAAGGGGGGAAAGAAAGAATCTCACCATCGCAGCCGCAGTGTGGCATAGTTTACCCCTTATCCACATCTTTACTTGGGATTCCCAAAGAGCTACCAGTCTGGTTTTGGACCTCTGGCTTAGGCTATACTGTGGGTACTGGGCCCTCACGGGGACTCCGCTTGGATATCCCATTGTTGCCCTATGTCATGGAGATCTGGCAGCTTTGGGGTTGGAAGCACACAGCATGCTTTTATTTGCCCCCCCCCCCCCCACATTTTCCTGAGGAAAGCATACTGCATTAACTTGTGGGTAGTGCCTCTCCAGTAAAATGTGCTGTCACTGAGACTGGTAATCAAGGTCTGCAGGACTGGCCCTTCACCAGCACATCACAGATGGGGTGGATGTTGGCCAACTCATCATCCTGGTTCTAGGCCTGGATGGTTGCAGGGTCGGTCAGCCCGCCAACTCTCCCCTGTCTTCTCCACTAGGGTGAGCTCTCTGGCATTGTCCCTGCTAGTTCACCCCTTGTGGTGATGACCAAGCAGGTTCTCCTGCTTTCAGGCCCTCAGGGCTAGCTCACCCACACCTTCACCAGCAGGGCAGAGGCCACTCTCCTGAGCGCTGTAGCTGGTGATGGGCAGGGCCTGCTCTCTCTCCCACCTGCCACAGGTGGTGATAGGGTGGGGGAGGAGGACCCACACCACCATATGACAGACGAGGCGTGGAACCAGATCTCCCAAGCTCATGTTCTCTGGCTGGTTCACCCTCACCCCAGTCAGTAGAGTCAGCTCTACTGTGCTGAGCAGGTGAGGTGCAGGGCCCTCTTTCTGGAGTGCTGCAGCTGGTGACAGGGAGGGTATCTCTCCCTCACCCTCCCCTCCACATAGCAAATGAGGAGAGCTACCCCACCTACTCTCACACCCTCCGGATGTGCTCACCCTCCCCTCCAACAATGACATCACCTCAAGTGTGCTGTCCACACAAGAAGTAGGGCCCACTTTCCTGGATGTCATAGTTGATAAGGAGGAGGAGGGCAGCTCCCTTGTCTGCTGCAGGCAGGGAGAGGCAAGCATGGGGGGACATCTCTCCCCCTCTCACACTACCTCACGACAGACAAGATATAGGGTCAGCTCTACTCACAACTTTGGGGTTGACTCACCTGTGCTGCCCAGGTGAGGGGCGGGGCCTGCTTTCCCAAGTGCTGTAGCTGGTGAGGGGAAGGGGCAGCTCTCCCACCCTCTGAAGTAGAGTTTCTTGAAGTGTGGTTCCCCTCCCCAGTGACTCATTTGGGAACTCCCTATAAACAGAGATTCCCAAATTCCAAGCCTGCCCTGAACATGCACACTCGTTGAACTGGAATCTTACTGGCTAGGCACAACAAACTGTGCTTCTAACACACTCTGGTTACTCTGAGGCATATCCAAGTTCCGTCACCAAATCACAGGGGAATAAATGCCAAGTCAGAATGCAATGCGTGTCTGTCCACTCTCCCCATCTACATACTTCTAGAGTGCCAGGGAGGTCTCCTCATTCTGCACAGCCTCGAGGAGGGGACATGGGAAGAACTGTCCTGGCTCTTTGCCTAGGATGGAAACAGTCCTGATAGGGGCCACATCTGACACCTGCTGACTTCATGGTAGAAGCTCAAAGTGCCAGAAATGACAAGTGCCAACTCTAATGTCCATCAAGGCTAATGAAGCAACCAAAACTTTTCAAGCTACTCTGATTCAGCGCTATCCATGCATGCGCTTAATTAAACATGGGCTTGGAAGGATTAAAACTAATCAGCAAATCCCTTGTCTTCTTTGATTCATTTACGAAATCAATAAAAACACTAAGGTGTGGGGATTAGAGGTACCAAGTGAGCGGTTACCCTAGAGACCCACTGCCCAGCACCAGACTGCAGACCGAGTCGGTTTATAGATTTCCAGTCCCCAGAGTCAGAGAAGGGCAAGAGCCCCCAGGAGATACTCTGCACCACACTGTTGGTGATCCCTGTATGTTTGTTATGTGATCCTTCCTGAATGAGACCTGCAAATATGCACCAAAGTAACTCCTAGGACAAGGAGGCTTTCCAGGAAGATGGATTCAACTCCGCCCTGTTGTGTGTGAAGTGGCATCTTGAATATTCCCAAGACTTAATTGCCCCAACTTTTAATATATAGTTGAGGTAGATATTGTAAGACACTATTAGATTCCTTCTTCAGACCTTTCAGTAAGTCATGAATATCACAGAAAGACATTGGATAGATTGATGTGACATCTTTTCCACAACAGAGATGAAAACCAATGCCACTACTCACCCTTAAATAGGATATAACAATCAACCTCGGTTAGGTCTCTATAAGCGTGGGGTGTATTAAACCATTCAAGTCATTTTAACAAAAATACCAGAACCTAGTTGACTTATAAATGGATTTAATTTTCACAGTTCTGGAAGAGAGAGAGAGAGAGAGAGTGTGGAGTTATCATACTAGGCTGACAATGCTTCCTATAAGAACTATAGACTAATAAAAATCCCAACACCAGTCCCAAGAAACTTCCTGATTAGTGGTTCATCCCCAAACAACTTAGTGTATTGCTGCTGCCCTTTGGTACCTCTCAGAGGTTGAAGGTAGCCCCCTATTCTGAAGACACTGTACAGTTAGAATACAGTTGGAGCTGGATCTAACACAAAAGCTTCCTTCCTGCAGCCTAGGTTCCATAGTATCAGAAAGTCTATGTAAGCTGCTGAGGGAGGAGAGCAAACAGTAACCTTACCTAGCCATGATATGTACCGATCACAATGAAAAACAGCATGGCAAGATATTTATGCTGGTGCAATATTGGCACTCACGCATTAGTGGTAACCAATGGTTGTCTAATTGAACTTTTAAGTCCCTCCTGACAGGAGGGAAATTATGCCCAGCAGTAGAAAGCTAGTGCATTTAGAAGAGAATCTACCACTGAGATGTTGATAGACCAGCATAATTCCTTACTACATTCTAAATCTTATAGCTACAGATAAGTGTAGCTATCAGCCCTCATCAATTAAGCTTCTCTTTATAGAAAATGGACTCACAATAGAAATCCATAACCAGACACAATACAGAGACCAACAGATTGTGGGGAGCCCAGTTCCAATAGATATTCCTGCAACACAATTCCTTCATCTATGGCTCAGTGAACATCACGGAAGAGGGGTGGAAAGATTGTAAGAGCCAGAGCACCAGGAAGTTTTCTGTGAGACTGACTTTTCACAACTGATGCACAAACAAGACCTGACTAATGACAATATCCATCAATAAGCTAATGTGGAAGGAGGAAATCACAAGAGGTCCCACCTCTCAACAAAGAACTATCAGCAACTAATGACTGCTTAGAGATGGAGAATTAACCTCACCCAAGGATGAGTCATCCCTAAAACCATATATATACAAGCAACAAAAACTGACTCAGCAGGTTGTATTTATATATCTGTGCATCTATCTGTCTGTCTGTGTGTCTGCTATCTATCATCTACCTACTTATTTATGTATATACTGCCTGTCTATCATCTATCTACCTACCTATCATCTGTCTATCTATCATCTACCTACCTACTTATGTATCATGTACCTATCTGTCTATCTATCTATCTATCTATCTATCTATCTATCTATCTATCTATCTACCTACCTACCTACCTACCTATCTATCTACCTGCCTACCTATCTATCATATTAAAGAAAAGAAGTTATCATTTTGAGATGGGTGCATGACAGGAGCTGGAGGGAGGAAAAGGAAGGTGAAAGTGATATAATTATACTTTAATTAAAATGCATTAAAAACAAAAATTTCAAAAAAGAACACAAATTTCTGAGTTAGATTTAGGGACAGAGAGCAGCTTCATTGTTCACAACCCTGAGTCTAAACTTTGATCTGTTGAGCAAATAGAACCACGTGCGTGTGTCGTGGATGAGGACTTTAGCTACTAGCATAGTGTGGCTTCTTATAAAATGGTAGTGTAACACAGTGGTTTTTAGTAACTGGGGTGACTTGAATGAAAATGCACCCCTAGGCTCTTAGGAAGTGGCACTATTTGAAAGGATTAGGACATGTGGCCTTTTTGGAGTGGGTGTGGCCATATTGGAGGAAGTGTGTCACTGGGCGTGGTTTTGAGGTTTCAGAAGCGTAAGCCAGGCCCAGTGGCTCTCTCTTTCTGTTTCCTGCTGATCTGGATGAGGAACTCTCAGCTACCTCTCCAGCTCCATGTCTGCTTGCACACTGCCATGCTTCCTGTCATGATGATAGCACACTAAACCTCTGAACTTCACCCCAGCCCTAGCTAAATGTTTCCTTTATAAGGGTTGTGCTGGTCACCATGTCTCTTCACAGCAATAAAAACCCTAACTAAGACAGGAACCATGGTAGTTATCTCCAGGTAGGTATTGATATCAAAACGGGAAAAGGTATAAGTTAGACATTCATTCTAATCTTTGGCAATTGTGTACTTAATTTGCTATGTGTCTTTGATCCTCGGGTTCTCAGCATAGACACTGATTCTGTCTGTGTCCAGTGACATTGGTACTCTATCTGAAAATTCATCACGTGTTTTTCATTTTCAGTTGCATCTTCTACACACTTTTAACACTCAGAAGTCATGCATACATGAATCCATGTTTACATGATTTTCTCACCCTTAGAGAAGAAAACCAAAGAAAGATTAATTCATGAAAAATGAATGGCTGTTGAAACTCTTCAAAGGCTTGATTCACTGCATAATTAGTAGACAACATTAGAAAGCAGAATATCTTTCTGCTTGAGAATTGAGTAAATTGATTAATTCATTAATTAGGTATGATAACACAATAGATAGCATAATTGTACCACTGGCTAACAAAACACAGCAGAAGAATTAAGCATGTTTTCAACATGGTCAACATTTAATTCACAGTCTGAAGATCCCAGAGTTAGAATCTTAATGAAGGGACTCAGGAAAGCCAAGGTCAGCCCTTTTTTCTAGGAAGGGGCTGTGTTATGTGCGAAGCACATAGCAAGTAGCAACCTTCTTCCTCCACAAGTTTGTTCCAAGCAGAGCTTGATCCTTGATTCATTTATTCACTGGAGAGATTATTTCCAGACACGTTCCAGGTTTCAGGTACCAGGAAAGGCCAGGGGCTACCACAACGAAGAAATGAGATAAATTTACTCTTTTAGAGTAGACATTTGAGGAGTTCTCTGCTAGTTGTGATAACCACTAGATCATAGAGCAGCTCACATTCAAACTCTACTGAATTAAGTTTAGATATGTAACTCCTGGGTCCTATTATTACAAGTACAAAACACCAATGACAGTGTGTGTTTCCCAGGTGGCATATCGGACAGTGAGGAAGGATGTTTTAAACATGGTAAGGACGTAGTCCTAGACAGTTATTCTAAAAGGGTGGAAAGAGAGCAAATGACAGTCAGTTAAATGAAGAAGATACCTTTCTTCTACAAAAACCATGAGTTGGAGGCCACATAATGAGACTCTGCCTCAAGAAGATGAGAGGTGCAGAGACAGAGAGTCAGGTATTTGAGACAGGGATGGCCACCTTTTATAAAGTGCAACAAAAACACATCAGTTAATTGAACTATGTAAACTATGGCAAAAATCAAGGCTTGACACGCGCAGAGGGCAGACACAGGAAATATCCAGTTGAGAAAAGAGGTCTGTGAGGCTGGAGCATCACGAAAGACAGGAAAGATGAAGGGCGGGGTGGAGGAGGAGCACGAGACAAGGGAGCATTTCTTGTTGAGCTGCGTGGGATGCAAGGAAGTCACCTGTTCTGATCCAAGTCTCAAAGTTAGGCTTTTGGGTGAGGGACACATTGGATGGGCCAAAGTGGAGAGAAAACCATGGGTCCACAGGTCAAATGTTAAGCCAAGTAGAGCTAGAAAGGGGACAACGGGATCAGAAACGAATTGGGTTGAAGGATAATTCGGAGGAGAGGTGCCTGGCCTTGTTGGTGGGTTTGGTGTTGAGAACGAGAAAAGGCAAGAATCAAGGGTAAGTGCTACATTCCTGCACTGAGAAGCTTGGGAAGGAGGCCAGAGGACCACAGGCTGAGAAGAGTCCCGCAGGACATGTCTGAGACAAACTGAGATGATTTCTCATTTCTCTATGATACACGTGAAGTGTCAGATTACCATCTTATTCAGAGTATCCAACAATAAAACTGTACAAAATGATCTGGAGCCAGTAGAAAATTCAAGGTGTGATACGATAAAATTTAAGTTGCATCACAACATATGCGGTATTCAATCCACAAATCTGGATAAAATCCTCAGTGCTCATGGATGGAGGAGAAATAAAAGAAGACCAGAGACCAAACTCTGGGGAAGCCCCACCTCTAATAGCAGGGCTGTGGAAGAGGATCCTGAGGAGGGTGGAGGAAAACAGAGTTTGGAGATCCCAGAGGACAGACAGGACAGGAAGCTGTGATAACCCGTTTGCAGAAGGAAGGGTATACAGAGATCCTGTCAGGAAAAGAGGAAAGGAAAAGCCAAAACATGTGTAAACTTGAGAGGGAATTGCCAAGATGGAGAGAGCTGTGCAGACCCTTTGCAGAAATGACCCCAGCGCTGCCGGGGAACGGGGAACACGGTCTCAAGAAAGCTTTCTCTGAATGAGAAAGAGGACAGCATGCTTGCAAGCTCATGAAGCTGATGCAAGAGAGAGGGAAAATCACTGCAACTAGGCAATTGAGGGAGGTCGAGAAAGAACTTAGGAAGGCAAGGCTGGAGAAACAACACAGCCGGGGCGCTCCCTGTGGTTCTCTGTAGAAAGGTGTGCACGGACACAACTGTGTAGCTTTGGCAGGAGGTGTCGAAGTGGGAGAGTTCCAGTTGGTTTTAAAAGAAAATCTTGAAGCCACAGTTAAAAGATGCAGCGGAGAAAGTGAGTTTTGGTGTCAGGGGTGCTCACCGTCTTTAGAACATCTGGAGAGTGGAGGCCAAGGCTTTGCAACCGTCTTTAGAACATCTGGAGAGTGGAGGCCAAGGCTTTGCAGATAGACCTGGTGTCAAATTGGGGCTTCATTAGTTGTGAGTTATGAGACTTTCTGAGCAACTAGTCCTCTTCATCTGTGCAATGGTGATCACACAAGCGTGCACATACACACATACACACACACACATACACACACACACACTATGCAATGGTGATTCTCCCCATTTAGCCAGCATTTATATAAAGTGGATTACACACAGCATTGTCTGTGAAGGGATCTGAAAGCATAAACAAAGAAAACACAAATGCATCTATGAGTTTGAAGACTAAGAGGGTAGTATACCATGAACGTCAAGGGAGGGAAAATTTTTCAGAACAGGAAGTGGTCCCTGCACTCATGAAAGGCATTCAAACAAAGAGAAGGCTACTGTGTGCGTTCATTAAGATGTCAATGAGGACTTTCAACGTTGTTATTTCCAGGTCGTCATCAAAATCAGAACCACAGGCCTGTGTGCGCAGGGGCAGTTGGAATACAGACAGATAGACGTGCTGGTGTTTCTCCTAGTGTTTAAGTGGATCAACAAGGAGACACCGGTAGCAGCACAAGAACAGAAACAAACAAACAAAAACAGAGAAAGGAATGGATCCTGCAGTAGGCAGCTGGGAAAGAACAGTGCCAAGAAAGAGAAGAGGCAGGAGAGGGCACAGACAGAAAGGAGAGTGCACAGACAGAAGGAAGGGGCAGGAGAGGGCACAGACAGAAGGAAGGGGCAGGAGAGGGCACAGACAGAAGGAAGAGGCAGGAGAGGGCACAGACAGGAAGGAAGGGGCAGGAGAGGGCACAGACAGGAAGAAAAGGGCAGGAGAGGGCACAGACAGAAAGGAGAGGGCACAGACAGAAGGAAGGGGCAGGAGAGGGCACAGACAGGAAGGAGGGCACAGACAGGAAGGAAGAGGCAGGAGAGGGCACAGACAGAAGGAATGAAGAACATATCTAAGGGCTGCGTGGACAGAGGGGAAGGAGAAGGTGTGAAGGGACCTGGTTATTGGCTGTCGTCAGCATGTAGCATAGAAGCAGCCATGGGATGAACTGACATAAGTGATGATCGCCGAGCTTAAGAAATGGAATGAGTTGGCTTGAAGGCATCAGGCTTGAGCTGGAAGTCTTTAGAAGTAAGATTTACCCATGAGGAAGTATGGTTTCCCAATAGCCCAATGGGGCCCACCTTTTTTTTTTTTTTTTACTTGAAGAACACAGAAATGCCACAACCAGATGGCAACACTTCTAACCCACACTTCTGAGGCTTGTTTAGGCATTTTCAAACCTTTGGGTCATAAGTTGGAAAGTCAAATCTTCTATGAGTAGAATGTATTCAGAGAACTTTAGTGAGTTGCCTCTCTGAATCTCAGGGCCAGGGTATAGGTACCAATCACCCATTCATAGATTGATAGAACAGTGTTCTTTTTGGAGTGCCCTGCCCACCAGAGTCCTCTTGCTGCCCCAACCCTGCCCACCCTCCAGAAGGCCTGGCTTGTATGATATAATCTAATATAAATTCTCACCTTTGTAGCCTCCCAGCTCATAAGTCATCGCAATAACCAGTGGGCATTCTTCAAACTTTCAAGTTGCAAAAGGAGTCTATTTATGAAATATCTGCTATGCTGCATAATAAACAATGCCAGAGTGAACACAAAACAGACTAATTTAATAAGTGATTCCTTTCCCCTACATTGTTTAAATTTACATAATCAACTGGTATAATGTTTAGCATGCTCTTCAATGTTTGTTTACATGACAGTCCTGTTCTTTAGACCACGCCATTCACCAGAATATTGATTGGCATACAAAGCACACAACATAGCAGGCATTCCTGGAGGAATCTTTACTGGAGTGAGAAGGCAGCGAGGGAGGTGGTAGCATCTCTACTGCTCTTCCTAATCACACACCTAACGTTCTAAAGGGCATCAAAATCTCAACACAATCTATAGCTACTACTAACAGACAGAGGACTCTAGCCAAGAGTTAATATTAATACCATTAAAATAGCTTTATCAAGTGTTCATTTATCTCCAGATTGGAAGCAATAGCAGCCTGAAGCAGAGGCATGCCTTTGAGTATTGTGGGATAAGAATCAACCACAGCTTAAGAGCCATGGCTTTCCTGCTAAAGGGGAAAAGCGGTCTTAAAGCCACAGATCTCAGATGCAATACAGTGAGTCTCTTCGTCATCATCTTGTGCTCAAAGAAAACAGTGTGGAGTTATCACAATGAAGAAAGAACTCAGGTATCAAAATACATTAACCTTGCTTACATTAATTCAAACGGGCCTGGAGCTTTTGAAATGAACATGATGTTATTTGTGCATTAGTAGACAAAACAGATGTGGGTTAGACTACAAAGCTCCATCCTGCATCTCTGAAACAGAAGGATGAATGCCACTTCCTAGACTCTCTTAAAATATACATGATTCATACGTTTTTCTCTCTCTACCTAAATAATTTCCTTTTTTATTTTTACCTTTTCTTTAAAACGAGCTTTGGTTCCATGATACCATGCCCTCCTGCAGTTCAGGATGCTGTGGTGAGGAAGCAATTGTCATGGTCAAGGTTTCTTCTGTATGATGACAGTCAAGGGTTAGGTTAGCGGTGTGGTGCGCACCTTGCAAGCCTGTTCATCAGACTCTGAGTCCAGGATCCCAGAGGAAAAGGCGAGGACTGATTCCAGAAAGTTCTCCTCTGCTCTCCACACCTGTGACATGGCATGTGCACACCCACACGCATGCACACACATCATTCACATGCAATAAATTTAATTTAACTTTTTAAAAATGTAGGTCTTGACTTCAAACTTCCAGCCCCACACCTGAAATGTTTTCTTCCTTCAGCTTCCTTCCCCTGTGATACCATATCTGCAGCAGGGTTAAAACGTTGGTGATGACTGGCTGCAGGATACAAGTCTCCAGAAAGTCTGGTCAGCCCTGTGTTCCATCTCCTGCTCACAGAGGGAGAGACATCTCAAAGACAGGAAGTGACATCACAGTGCCTGTTTATGACAGAATATATTTAAAACTCTAGCTCTCTTTATGATATTGGAAACAAAACAAATAAGAAATATAAATATAGGTTTCCATTTCAACTAACTCCTTTTGAATTTAAAATATCTCACTCTGGGATCAAAAGCCTACTCTGGTCCCCAGCTCTTATACAAGAAGGCAGCAATTTTATCAAACGTGACATACAATGTTCTCTCTGTCTCGCTTCATTCAAAATATTTTCTTCCACCATCTGAGTTGACTAGGCACCAGTCAGGTCCATAAAACTAAAGTTAGAAACACATACTGGTTCTTAGAAAGATGATGGCCAAAGGTGATGAGAGCGTACACTCTGGTCCATCCTTCTCCCAAACCCCAGCCCACAAGACTCTAAATCAAAAGAACACACAATGCCACAAGGCAGAACACAAACCTCTTTGTGTCTTTAATAATTTTAAGGCAAATGATATCGACAAATGAACTGCTGTAAGGGCTTTGTTTATTATACGGAAATATTTCCAAAGGCAGCCTTCTTGTGCAGGGCCTGAGAAGACTCACATAAGGGATGTTAGTTGTTTGATCAAAGTTAAAAGGTATCATTGAACAAAGGTAAAATATCAGTATACTATCTCAGAGACTTAGTAATTTGCACTAGTCCTGATTCCATATTTCCAGTTAAGATCTGGAATTATTTAGCAATTATTTAGCTGAGCATAAATATTTAGAGACAGTTTTGTTAACAAATCTTGCCTCTAGGAGCCAGGCCCATAACAATTATTCTTGGCATTGGTTTTCAGCACATAAATGCACTGTCTAACTTCACACCTTCTCTATTTCATTTTTACTATTTTGTATGGTACGGATGCATCCTTTTTTATTCCTGGCCTCTTTTTGCCCTGCCCTGTAGAACAAAAACTTGGCAGACCTTCTTGGTCCTGTGCAGAGAGGCCCGGAAACCACTGGAGAGAAACCAGTGGGGTTCTCTGGCCAATCCCTTGCGGATTCGTAAAGTTTCTGAGCATCTCAGATTCTATAGTATGGGACCTGGCTTTGATAAAATGCCTACTAGACATTCTCCCTCATCTGGTCTGTGTGAATGCACGCACAATCCTGCATGCTTTGCTTTGTGTCCTGGAAGGCACTACAAGGTGTCAGGCGGCCTCCCAACCCGCTTGGAATAACCTCCCGATGGTGACTCTGAAACCAAATGCCCTTTTGGACGAGAGAGGTAGATTTCCCACGGTCGTGCATGATTTGGTAACGTGACACTTGTGAACAGTTACCCCTTTGAAAATGCACTGCCACTCTCGAAAAGGCTCATGGATTTTACCCGTCTCACTTTCATTTCATGAGGAGCCTAGCTTGCAGCCACACTCCAGCTGAGTTCTCCACACTTGGTAAATAAATCCCATGAACAACAGTCCCCAATTTCACATTAATTGTTTGGAAATCTCCACAACATCAAACATTTTGTTAAAAGTCTAGGAAGAAATAAGCATAGCTCTTTTGTTGTCAGTGGCTTGTTGTGCTTCGCAGTGATTTGTTCTAAATACAGCTTAACAGGCAGATGACTGGTTTGTGACTAGAGTATCTTTTCGGAGATGAAAAAGCAATCCAAATGCTTCCCCCCAAGGATGCGGAGCAGGCGCAAAGCACCATGGGACCATGGGATGGGTGCACCTGGGGAACTGCTTATTGCAAATTGGATTGACAGGGAGGACTTGGTGCCTTCCCTAGCACACGTGCCTCTGAAGGGCCGAAAGGGAAGCACAATGCTTTAGGATTGAGACCTGGGAATTGCCTAAATATGAGAGCTTGGAATTGCTCAAGCATTAAGAGAATACAAACATGAAATGAAAATATCGCAGGAATGGGGCTTGTAATCGTCCAAACACATGCGGAGAAATGGAGGCAGCCGCTGGAGCCACACCCCAGGGGTGGATCTAGGGCCATCTTGTTCCTCCTGGACAGCCGCTCGCTTTCCCCTCCCTTTCCCAGCTCACTTCTTCACGTCCCGCCAGAGCGGACCGGAAGATGCTGCTGCCCACGCCGGTCAGCTTGGACGGCTGTCAATCATTCTTTTTTTAAGCAGCTTACCAGGACCACAATTCCAAGGCTTTGACTTTCCCCCTTTTTGCTCTCTTAGAAAGTGTGACCTGAAGTGCAATTCCTGCTCTGAAAGGACTAAGATGGGTTATATGGGTGACCAGGGCCTGACTTTGGGTGGCCTGCACGACATGACCCACTATGGGGGAGCTGTGGGGTGAGCACTTATTTCTCACAGAACAAAATCAAGTGGTGAGTGAATGTACTTCTAAAGCACCCTGAGGAGCTATCGGGCTGGTTCCAGTGGGCAGGGAACGCTGCTTCAAGTTTCAGATATGATCTGAGGACATTCTCAGCTTTAAGTTGTTGAAAACGAGTAGTATGTCTATTTAATACATCCCAAAGCCTTGACTGGATAGTCAAGAGGACGCTAGGGTGGCTTAAGAGACGGGTGATAAGTGGCAGTCAGCCTGCAACAACCTGTTCACAGTCATGGAGGTCAAATCAGTCAGCCTGCAGAATAGTCCACATACTTAGGGCTTTTCCAGGAGACTTCAGTTCACAAAACTTAAGGCACTAGTGTCGTTACAACAAAATTAAATAGCTTGAAGACGAAGTAATAAAGTACATTCCACACAACTTACCCAGAAGCACTGTCACTTCTCAAGGGCACTCTTGGGTTAGCTTTTCATTTCAGAGTCTGCAGATTATACCCGCACTGTAAAGTTTGTAAGACAGATTCCAAAGTGCTTGTTTTAAAGAGCTTCTAGCCAGCCAATCATAGCCCTCCAAAGTGAAATTACCTTTGCATTGTTATTCTGATGAGGTCATTATCCAAGCTACAGCCTGAGCCTAACCTCAGATCATTAGAGCTGGGTAAGAAGGCTAGGTGGGGTGGTGGGTTATGGACTGGAGTTTAGACCTTTAACATCCAAGTAAATGCTGGTGGGTGTGGCAGTCTACCTGCAATCCTAGCATGCAGAAGGCAAAGACAGGCAAGCCCCCGGGCAAGCTGGCCCATACAACGACAAGCCACCTTACCTATGAGCTGTGGATTCAGCTGAGAGACCTTGCCTCAGTGACTAATGTGAAGAGCAGTCTGACCAGGTAAGATTCCAGACACCAAGCTCTGCTCTCCACATCTGTGTGTGTGCACAGCTACAAACATAAAAACCTCCGTGTACATGCATGTGTGAAAAACAAATTAGTTTTTAAATTAATGTTTATTTAAATTTAAAGCAATATTATCTTACATTATTTTTTTATAAAGGGAAATAAACATGTAGCCATTATCTCACACAAAGAATTGAGGCAATGGGAACACTGAGCCCGTCGAGGTGACAGGAAATGAACACCTAAGAGGAGACACTGTAGCTGCTGTCAACGGGCAGGAATAAGATTCCCCTTCTTTTGGCCTCACTTCCTTCACTACTTTCTCTAGAAGATGAGACTAACTTGAAAGACATTTGTAAAGATTAGTGTCAGTAGACGCTGAAATGGAGTGTGTGTGTGTGTGTGTGTGTGTGTGTGTGTGTACATGTATCAGGAGCCAGACAGTACATCCTGTTGACTTTTCTCACAGAAATCATGTTCACACAGACCTAGCATTCCCCCTGAAGTCTTAGCAGCCATGGGGGTTCTCTTTCCCCTCAGCACAGTGAATTGACATGGAAGATTACATTCCCTCCGTGTAAGTTGTGATTGACATCCTTATTAGGGAGGCAGGCCTTTCATGAATACCTCAATTGCTGCTTTCCAGGATAGGACCAACCCTAATTCGTCACAGGGCTAACTGTTCTTCATAATGGTGCTGCTACCTATTGCATGGAGCTCCTTCTGTACTCCATAAGCACAGTACCTTCTGGACTGCCATGTAGGAAGAACGAGGGCTGGAACTCAGAGGCATAACATTTACTTCGTATGTGTGAAGCTATGGGTTCAATCCCTACACCAGGCATGGTAGTGGCATCTGTAATCTCAACCTTTAGGAGATGTAGGCAGGAAGTTTGAAAGTTCAAGGTCAGCCTGGGCTACAAGGCAACACCTTGTCTCCAAAGACGAAAGAAAAGAAGGAAGGGAGGAAGGGAGGGAGGGAGGGAGGGAGGGAGGGAGGGAGGGAGGGAGGGAGGAACTCAGCACTCCAGCACAACACAACAACAAAACCCCAAACTACGGAAGCTGAGTGGGTGGGGAACGAGCCTCTGCTGCAGTGCAGTGAACGCTGTGTTGGCAAGCAGCTGAAGCTCTCTGCATCTCATCTGTTGTATCTGTTCTCAGAGCTGACATCACTGTGCCCGATCGTGGGTCATTGGAACATTGGATCAGAGGCCATGTGGAGCAATCTGAAAGCGGCAGCTCATCAGAGACTCAAGGCAACTTTTCCTTTCGAATCATCTTTGTCAAGAGACAGCCAATTGTGTTTGCAGAGGAGGGAGTGACCAGGGGAAGCTTCTGCCCCCTACAAACTGGACTTTTCCTTCAACTCTTCACCCACATTTCTGCCCCTGGCTTACTAAGAACTTGCATATCCCCTAAAGTTCAAATGTTCTGCAGGCAGCTGGCCCTTAAGTGGGAGGGGCTCCTTCCCTGGAACTCTTTGTTTTTTTTTTAACCAGAAGCTAAACACGAAAAGGCTCAGATAGGCTAGTGATCCCTAGAAGAGCAAAAACAGCTACACTAATTAGTAGCTTCCAGAGTGTTCAGCTTGGCAATAAGCTGTGGATTTATGGTTTTGTTAAGAGTCAGGCTACATCCGAAATCTTTTATATAATATTAGATATGAAAATACACACCATCTGGACCTCTCGCTGATACCTTGAAACGCCTGCCTCTCTCAGGAATCAAACCCATTTTACCTGCTAGGGAATAAAACACCTGTTTCAAATACGACTTCCCACTGTGTGATGTACATT